GCTATTGCCTTCCCCCTGAGGCTTTGGAAAATGTAACTTCACCAAAGATCACCCATGGCTGAGTAAGGATTCACGCCTTGGCCTCCTAGAGCTTTCAGTTTAACATTCAAACCACTGGCTCCCCATATAATACGTGCATAATTGCCCAGAAAAGATTACTGTTTAATTTGAGTATCAATGACTCTCAGTCCTCCTGTTTGTTAGCAAACAAACATTCCAGTGCTATCTAACAAAGTGGTAAGGGCCTCCTGCTGCAACCTTAATCTCTGTGTGATTTCTACAAACAGATTTGTCTGATAGCCTCACAAAAGGCTATCTTTCTAAGCTCAGAATACATTCCACAGACACAGTGAAGGATCTATTCTGCTGAATCAAACTAACCATAAAGATGAGCTCAGGAAAGTGCCCAGGAAGCCAAGTAAAGACACACAGAAATAACTCTTCATCATGAGCACTGAATGTATCTGATTTCCAAATTTTTCCACAGAAAACCCTGCTGGTCAAGAAATAAGTGGAGGCTTCATAAATAGGTGAACACATTCCACATTATATTTTAGGTATATACTTGAGATGTTTTGGGTATACACTGTTTTTGCAAATATCCCTTTCATATGAATCAGAGAACCATGTTAAAAAAATACATGAATTGAAAACCTGAGTTTGCTGTGCATAATTTGTGAAATGTCCATGTATTCCTAAGAGCTCTTTCATATATTAATAGGGAAAATATAATGTCCAACCAACTGTGGTAGGTTTGAAGGTCACTTTTATGCCCTCCAGAACTGCATGGACTATTGAAATATTAAGCAAACAAAGGGGCCAGAAGTCCACTTCTGATTCTGAGTTATGTTTTTTTTTTTTAATGCAGACAATGAAGACATTGAGATAGTCAAAGATATCCTATATCGTGGCTCAGTCATTAATTAATATGGAGACTGCATTCAAGAAATCAGAAGAAGATTGGGACTTGGAAGGGCAGCTATGAAGGAACTATATAAGATCTTCAAGTGTAAAGATATATAATTGAATATCAAAGTCAGGATTGTCCATGCCATTGTATTTCCAGTTGCTATGTATGGTTGTGAAAGCTGCTGCACAGTGAAGAAAACTGATGGGAAAAGGATAAACTCATTTGAGATGTGTTGCTAAAGGGACTAAGCTGCAGATACCCTGGATTGCCAAAAAGACAATAAAGAAATAATAATAATAAAATTTATTTTTATCCCGCCCCTCTGCATAACACAACTGAA